AAGGCCTCTTGAAGAAAGTGGGCCTTGCGTCTTGAAGGAACCCAGAAGCTAAGAGGCAGAGGGGAGGGGTGAGAGAAGCCTTTGAATACCTTCCCTTTTCCCCCCAAACACGAAGTCTAGTTTTATCTTACAAGGCAAAGGGGAACCACAGAAGGTGGGGTAGAAACCCAAGCAGACCTTCTCATCAGGTAGCTTACTTTGGCAGTAGCATGAATGGCAGACTGATGGGAGGCAGGATGGCCTCACAGAAAGAGCACAGACTCTCGAGTCACATAACACGGGTTCAAATCCCATCTTTGAAAATCATTAAATCATATAATGCAGGGACATAGTTTCCTCAACTGCAAGATGAAGGATTAAGTCCCTGCCGGCTCTGGATGTCGGCTCTAGGAAGATGAGGCAGAGAGACCCGTCAGGCAGCTAATTCAGTCATCAGCGGGAGAATCTCAGAATCTGAGCATTGGAAGGGACCGCAGGGGCCAGAAAGTCCGACCCGCACGTGAAGGGGACACTGGGCTCCACAGAGGGGGACGGTTCTCGCTGTCCAAAAGTTCACTTCAGGCCTCAAATGGCCTCTTCCACTCAGTGCTCCTGGCTCTAAACAGAAAAGTCAAGTGCTTCTTCTGCCCGACAGCCCCTCAGAGACTCGAAGGGACGTAGGGGCTCATACCTTCTACGAGATGACGAGGCCCTGAATCTTGGCAGTGGCTGTGTGAGAGGCCCAGTGACAAAAGAGCCACTTCTGGAGTCTGAGAGGTCCCACAGCTAAATCTAGGCTCTGTTCCTTTCTACTTATAGGACCATGGGAAAGTCACGTCCCTCCTCTGAGACTCAGTTTCCTCATCTGTGAAATGGAGGGGCTAAGCTAGAAGATCATAATACCGAGCATTTATATGGGACCACAATAACCCTGTGAGGTAGGGTTATTATTCCCTAGAGTTATTATGGTTGCTGTTCCCATTTTACAGATGAGGAAACTGAGGCCCAGAATGGTTCATTAAAACTGCTAGCAAGCATTTGGGGCAAGATTTCACTTCAGGTCTTCCTGACTCCAAGTCCAGTGCTCTGTCCACTCTAATATCCCTTCCATCTGTCCATCTGGGAGCAGAGCTGGGAAGAGTGTTCAACAGGTCCTGGCTAACAGGATTGGCTGGGAAGGTGAAGGTGAAAGCTCTGGGGTCTGGAGCGAGGTGACTGGGACGATGATGGCATTCTCTACAGACACAGGGAAGATGGAAGGAGGGCTAGGTTTGGGGGGGAGATGACCTCAGTTCGAGACATATTACATTTTTGGTCCAGTACCTAGGTGGGGTTAGGTTCTCTGCTGCTGATTCACTCCTGAGGAGGGCATAGGGTGGGGACTGGAGGAGGGTGGATACTGGGTGAAGGCTGCAGTCCTACTGATGCAGAGGAAAGAGGAGGGCCCCACTTTGGACCCTGGCTGGAGGAAGCAGAAATGAACATTATCAAAAGCATTTCCTCCAGGGAGCAAAGTCAATATCTATAGTGCCTGGGGCCCATGGTACAAGGAGAGGTTAGCCAGCGCTCCTGATGGGAGGGGGCTCCTGGGAAATATGCTGGAATCCAAGGATGGGCTGAGGCCTTATCAAGGGTGGGGTGTACAGATGACTCAGCAGGTGTGGGGGACCTGACACCCTCAGGCATCTGCTTCGTCTGGCATAAACCAGGTTGGTTCAGGAGAACCAGGGAACTGGGGTAGGTGGGGTGGGGGTGGGAAAAGGAAGAGCTGATCCTGAGGGGTCTCAGTATGAAGATCCTCAGCCTCAGGGCCTGGCTCCTGGACATGGGCCTCACAGGAAAGATTCCCTTTCTGGTCTCCTGGCTCCAGGTGATAAGCCCAGGGGGTCCCCTTCCCTGCTCTTATTTTTCATCTAACAGAAACCTAACTAAGGCAGGGCAACAACCGTGATTTGGAGGAAACCAGCAGCAAACGTTACTTCTTCATCAGGACAGAAAAAAGGGGGGGGGGCGCTATTGATTTAATTTTACCAGACCTGTGATTTCCCTGACAGAGGGCACTCCCATTGGGGAAACTCCCTCTACCAATGTAGATCAACTACTCTTCTGTGATTTTTAGTCTCAGGGTGTTGGCTACAGCATTACAGGTAGTGTGTGATGGAGGGCATCTGAGAGAAAGCTAATGGAGGCAGAAACAAAAATGTCATCAGAGTACACTTGGACAGGAAGAGGAACTAGACAAAGAGTCTGGGAAGGAGGGAAGGAAGGAAGAAAGGAAGGAAGGAGGAAGGAAGGGGAGAGGGAAGGAGGGAAGGAAGGAAGGAGGAAGGAAAGGAGGGAGGGAGGGAGGAAGAAAGGAAGGGGGAAGGAAGGAAGGAAGGGGGAAGGAAGGAGGGAAGGAAGGAAGGGGGAGGGAAGGAGGGAAGGAAGGAAGGAAGGGAGGAAGGAAGGGGGAAGGAAGGAAGGAAGGAAGGAAAGGAGGAAGGAAGGGGGGAAGGAAGGAGGAAGGAAGGGGGAGGGAAGGAGGGAAGGAAGGAGG